GAGGGACTTGTATATGCCCTGTTACAAAGTGAAGTGAGCCAGGAGACTAATTTATGAAATAACAACATTATAAAGACAAACATCTTTGAAAGACTTAGGAACTCTGGTGGACTAAATAATTAGCTCATGTTTCTAGAGGGTTCATAATGAAATCTGCTAGGCATCTCAAACTAGAGAAATGATGGACACTGCTGCTTGAAGCACACACACACACACACACACACACACTCTTTTTTACATGACTAATATGGAAATTTGTCTTGCATGACTATACATATTTGTGATGGGTTTTGTTTTTGCTTTTTACATTGGTAGGGGAGAGAAGGGAAAGGGAGAAAATCCAGAACTAAAAATAAAATAAAATTGGATTTTTAAAAAGTCATGAACATCTCTTAGATTCTTATGAAAACCCCAGACTCTTCCATCCCCAGAGGTGCCCACATGACTAGTGTCCTCAGTGATTTTCCCACCCTACTTTCCTTCCTCCATATTGATAAATGGGTGCTCCGTGGGACACCCACCTAAGTCACTACACTTACCTCAGCAGACTCTGCTTCACAGACCCCATCTGTCCCCTGGAGAGCCAGGCTCTACCCAACATGGGCCTCTTGCTATTTTTCTTGTTACCTGTACATCCCCTTCTTCCCCTGCATCCCACCTCTTGCTTTTGCTCTGGCCCAGATTAACCAAAACAACAAGACCACTGCTGCGCCACAGGACAGCCCATGGTGGCTGGCTTCCCTGTAGCTCCAGCCATCATCTCTGCTTCTCCTCAGACTCTGAATGCTTTCCCAGGCCCTCACTTCCTTCCATTTGTCATCTCCTCTTGTTAGAATGGTAGTTCACTGAGGGCAGGGATTGTCTCACATTTGTGTCTGTATCCTCGTCACTTAGCACAGTATCTGGTGAATAGTAGGTGCTTAATAAATGCTGACTCATTAATTTGATTATACTGGGAAGCACTGCCTTCCCTGTGGGATTGTGACCTGTTGGCCTACAATCATCAGGGCCGGCAGGTTTCCCAGTGGTTCTGATGCACTCATGCCCTTCCATCCATAGTCCCTCATTCAGTTCTCCTTGTGGCCAATGGAATGGGCATTTTTATGCTCAGCAGCACCTCAAAGATGTGGCAAGTTTGTGTTTAAGGAAGCTAGTCCTTGGCCCTGGGTGGCATAGCAGGCCATGCCCAAGGGCAGAACCTCAGCCTCATAAACTAACTCTCACTCAAGCTATCCCAAAGAGTTCAGAGCAACGAAAACAGGGTCCCCAGAGTGGGGACACAGTGACTGGTCTGCTCTGGGGGTGGTGCCGTCCCTTCCTGCCTCCAGAAAACAAGTGTTGCGGCCGCAGGATTGGGAGAATGGTTCTGAACTCTTGGGTTCCACAGTCTGAGTCCATGAAGGAGATGGGTGAGCTCTCCCAGGAGGGCAGGACAAGAGTCAAGGGTGGCCACCTGGGAGCTAACACCCAAACATATGCAGCCTCTCCCATCCCGGGCCCATAACAAATGAAAAACTTGACTCAGACAAATGGGGCAACTCCACTGTGATGGGCTGAGGTTAACTTGCCATGTGAAATGTATCACTCTCTCAGCTAATGCTAAAATATCAGTCTGTCCCAGGAGAGATGACTGCCAGCCACCTGGTTTCTTTCCTTCATAAATCACAGGAGGGTTTACAGCTGGGAGAGGTTTGAGCCTGAGAAGTGACCTGTGGGTCCTCCAAGCGTAATGTTGTCTCGTAGTCTGGGCATTCTCAAGCCCTCACATTCTCTGGGGCTCCAAGGCTAGGGAGGTCGTTGGCTCTGTGGGCCGCAGGTGCTGAGGCAGGCTCTGAAGCTGTACCCTCGAGAAGCAGCAGGTCTAAGTGAGAAGTGTCCTTCTGACCCAACAGGTCCAAGCTACTCTGAGCAGCCCCAGCCCTGTCTGGGTGGGAGGAAGCCCAGGGCCCTTGCTCCTGCTCCAGGAGGAGGGTGGGGGCTCTCTAAGGATCCATGATTCAGAACCTCCTGAGCCTGGAGCAATGCGGGGGAGGCGGGGCAGAGGCAAGGAGGCAGATCCAGGCTGGAGGGCAGGTTCAAGCGCTCTCCCAGGGACACAGGCTGCTATGGGGCCCATGGGTGGGCTTCCCCTCCCTGGAGGTCTGAAAGCAGAGACCAGATGACCATTTGTTGGGGAGGTTGTAAGATAAGGGGGTTGGATTAATAACCTCCAAGTGTTCTGGAAGCTCTGGATCGATGACCCTCTGACCCTCTGACCTTTCTGTTGACCCCTACTCCTTCCTCCAGAGACTTCAAGCTCATAGTGCAGGTGTTCCTTCTCTCTTGGAGGCGAACACCACTTGGGACGTTTTCTCCACTGTCAGCCTTCATGGTTACTGCTGCATGTGGCCCTAAATCTAGGTAGAAAGCCCCTGGAAGGGCCATCGATGGGGCCAGCTTAGCTTGTCTGGGGTCTTGGGCAGCCCCCTCCTAACCACATCTTCACTCCTGTAGCCAGTGTGGTCTTGTCCAGTGTCTGACAAATTACCTCCCCAAGCCTTGTCTCAAGCACTCTCAGGTCATGTGTGGCCATCCAGTCTACATGGATGCCAGAATAGCGTTCTGCCTCCCGTCATGTTCTAATGGGGTAGTCTTTGCATCAGACTGCTGGGACTGCCAGCTGACAAGCCTTTGTCCTCCATGGCTTGTCCTTCACTTCTGGCCTCCTGCTCTCTGGCCTGGGCTACCATTGGTGGTCCAACGTCTGGTGCCCACAACCTGCATGGGAGAAGCTGCTTTGCTCCATCCTGGGCCTTGCTCTCTGCTGTCAGCTTTGGTGTGTCCAGAGGCTCATTGAATCAAATCCACTGTCCCTCCTTTTCAAGACTAATCGGGCTATTGGCACCTGCCGATCAGCACTCATTGGGACAGACCAACGCAATGCCCTGTGGCTTCACTGCCCTCTGATTGTCAGCCTCTGGAGGAGTCGGTCCAAGTGGCAGCATGTGGGGGAGTCGCAGTGGGGGTGAGAACCAGGGCTTCCTGCCAAAGCTCTGAACCACCAACAATGTGTACAGGCATCTTCCTATGCCTTGCCAATGGCCTGAATATGTCTTCTGCTTATTTGGTCTTCCTTTGTATTCACATGTCTACAGGAAGGTCATGGGTGTCATCAGCACTTAAGCACATGATCGTGAAAAGTAATAAGGTTGGGTAGCTTTAGCAAGGAGGATTCCCAAGGGAAAAATGAAATTTAAAAATTGCACAAAAATGATCAGAATTCCAGTTACAGGAAATTTGTTAGCTACTCTATGTAGACTTAAAATTCCCATTTAAAGCAATGCCACAGGCAGCCCCCACAAGTGGCAGCTATAGCCCAACCCTGTCCATTGAGGACCAGGTGCTCTCAATCAAATACCCACCCTCCTCTGTTATGGCCACCATCTAAGAGCAGAGCATGCTCTGGGTAGCCACCAAGCTCTCTCTGGCTCTCTGAGAGCTGTTCACCTCTTTCCTCCTTGTGTCATCTCTTGGTAGGCACTGATATCTAGTTTTATTGGTCCTGAGTTGGGTTACCAAATTAGATCTTATGGCTCCAGCCCCTATCCTATTGGCTTTCCCCCTTCATTAAGCTGCAAGTTGTATACGTCTTCATTTTTTCACTTATGAAATAGTGTATAAAACTTTCATCAGAATATTAGAGATGAGAAATATAAATAAAACAAATGCACCAACTGTGGGCATTCCTGAGTCACCCCCCGACCCCAGACTGCATACCACTCCAACCTAGAAAGGAGGCAGGCCCCTGGGGTTGCAGGTTCAACCCAGCCTCCCCCACTCACCCAGCCATCCTTCATGGACTAAGTACCAAGCCAACTTCCCCAGGGCTTTTTCACTCCTGCGAACCTCCCAGTGGGTCTGGGCACACAGTGTATGGTTTGGTATCGCTGTTCCTGCTCCTATCTCCTGAAGCAGAGCAGATTTGCCAGGCCCAAGGTCCATGGATCTGTGGAACCACCATCTCTACCTGTCAATGCCCAGAGCTTTTCAGGGACACTCCTATCATTTGTGTGCCCTTCCTTTTCCCAACAGGCAAGTGAGTATGTGTATTTTCCCATCCAGGGCATGAATCTGGATCTCATAGTTTTCTCCAGGTGGCCAGGGAGGGGAGGGTGCCAGGCTTCAACAGCAGGGTACCATTTCACCTGCCTTCATTAACCTTCCAAGGTTCCTACACTCTTCTCTTCAACCAATCACATTCCTCTCTGCCTGCCCACCTTTGGCCAGTGTCAGGCAAGTGGAATTGGCATCAGCAGCATGGACAGCCATCACCACGAGGGCTCACCTGGGACCTGGGGCTAATTGATTCCACCAAATCCAACTGGCCCTTTGCCATGGACTGAAACTTCATGAGCAAATCTCATTATCTCTAGGCACATGGGTCACTTTGTACCAGTGGGTTTTTCTCCCCTCCTCACTTCCCAGACGAGAGAAGGAGTGTAGAGAAAGCCAGTCTCAGAGTGTTCATGAATGGACATAGGATCTCTTCTGCCTGCTCTTCCCCAAAGTAGGGGGATGGGTCCATCAGAACACCCCCCTCCCAGGTTCTAGCAGGCATCCTAATTATGTGCAAGGGCTGGCTTGGGCAGCTCTTCATGATGATGGAGAGGCCATTTTTCTGATTTGGTTTAAACTGCACTCAGGACGTGCGTCTGGTCTTTCCTGCCTCATTACCTGGCCTCTCCTCTGATTTCCTGTCATGTTCCAGGAAGATGTTAGGCTGAGCTAACGGACTGCAGGAGCTGCAGCTAGTACCAGCTGCCAGCTCTGAGGCTGAGCTGAACTGGTTTCTGAGCCTACCTCAGGAAGCTGCTTGCCCTTGGACAACTGCTGAAGCCTGGGAGGAAGGGAGTCACTGTCACTTGTCCAGTGGCCTGGCCTCATGGGGGTTTGCTGGAGGGTTTGGGGAGATGCTGTTGGTTCTGAGGAAAGAATTTCCTCTTTTGGGCCTGGGCCCTGAAGAAGTCCCAAAGGAGAGGGAAAAATAAACAAGCCAGCTGGGAGGAAAGGCCAGGGCAGGAAGCCTCGAGAAGTAAAGGTGGGTAATCAGAGGTGGGCTCCCAGGGTGCTTACGGCTTTGGTTTAGAGAAAAAAGTACTAGCCAGAGGAAGAGGAAAGGGAAAAGCCTGACTGAACCAGGAGCTGCTCCTTGGACTGAATCCAGGGAACACACGCGTCCCATTGGCTAGGATGTTTTGAGGGGAGAAGGAGAGGTTTTACTAAATTGCATCATTCTTTTCTGTGCAGGCTGCCAAGGTAAATTGTGCCCTCTGTCTTGCCTGGCAGGTCCCCAAAGGGCCTTGCCCCTCTCAGGCCCGACAGCCAGCCAGCCCTTCATTCTGTCCCTCTGGCCTTTCCCCCTCATGGCAAGAGAGACTCATCAAAGTCAAATCAACAAGCATTCACTGAGCACCTTCTGCACACCAGGCACTGTGCTCAGCACTGGAGACACATTGGAAGGCAAAACATGACGCCAGCTCTCCAGGAGCTCACAGTCTAATTGAGGGGGCGGGGGGAGGCCACGTATAAAACCATGTGTAAAGTGATCTGAGCAGGAAGGCTCCGGCATTAATGGGGAGTGGGAGGGGCTTCCTGGAGAAGATAGGCTTTTCACTGAGACCCATAGGAAGGCAATCCAGGAGGCAGGGATGAGGAGGGAGAAGAGCCGGGGCCTACAGGACCCACAGAGCCAGTGAACTGAGCTGGGAGGTGGAGTGTCTGGTGGGGTAAACAGCCTCCCAGGAGCTTGGTGTCACTGGACTGCACAATCCATGGTGGAGAGGAAGGGCCAGGGTATGAAAGACTTTCAAAACCCAACAGAGGATTTTCTATTTGACCCTGGAGTGACTGAGGATGGGGTGGGGTAACTTGGTCTGTCCTGCCCTATAGGAAGGTGAATTTGACAGCTGATTGGAGGATGGACTGGAGTGGGAAGAGAAGAGGCAGGGAGACCCCACCTCCCAGCCCCCAGCAGCTATTGTAGTAGAAGGAAGAGACAGTGTCAAATGAGATTGTGGAATTAGGCTAAGCAGGGACCAGCAAATAACAGATTTGAAAGCACTTCCTTGCCCATGAAGAACACTTTGGGCACCTAGGTCAATGACTAAAAGAAATTGCTTTCATTGTTATTATGGTGAGGATTATTTATACTGTAAGGAAACGGCACCACTCTGGTCAACCAAAGGAGTTTGGTCACTGACAAATCTGGACGGTGAAGGCAGGCCTGTGGACCAAGGGGTTGGATGGTAATGTCCTCGAATCTTTGCCTAGCTTTGGTTCTTGCCTTCACCTCATTCACATGCCAGTCAAAGAAAACCTTGAGATCAAGGCTCATATTAGTGGCCAAGCCACTAGAGTTCATGGTTTTGTTTTGTTTTAATTTAAATAATGTCCCTGAAGTAGATTTGGGGAACAGTAGGATCACCATAAGGGATGTAAAAAGAATCACAAGGAATTTCTTACATTAAGTCAGATTGTTATTTCAATCAACCAATCAACATTTATTAAGGGTCTACTATGTACCAGGCACAGAACTGAGCACTGGAGATACAAAAAAAGGCAAAAGGCATCCCTGCCCTCAAGGAGCTCATAATCAAATGAGGGAGACAACAGGCAAACAAACATACGCAAATTAAGCAATATGTCAGATAAATAGGAAATAATTAATAGAGGGAAAGCACTGGAATTAACAGGGGATAGACAATATCAAATTGCTTATCTCCCTCAAGGACAGAGGGAGAGAATTTGGAACTCAAAATTTAAAAAAAAATGATTGTTAAAAAAATTTTACATGTAATTGGGAAATATTTAAAGATATAAATAAAATTTTTTACAAGAGGGATTAGGGAAGTAAAAGTGAAAAAATAAAAAAGAGATTTTAGTTGGGACTTAAAGAAAGCTAGGGACATCAGTAGTCAGAGCAGAGAAGGGAATGCGTTCTAGGCATGGAGAAACATGCTGAGAATTGGGGGGGGGAGGGCTGAGAGATGGAGGGTCTTATTCATGGAACAGGCAGAAAGCCAGAGTCTCTGGATCAAAGAGTTCATGTTGGGGAGTGAGATGTAAGAAGATGGGAAAGGTAAGAGGGGGCTGGATTATAAAGGGCTTTGAATACCAAATGAAGCATTTTGTATTTGATCTGGGGGTAGTAGGGAGCCATGGAGTTTAGTGAGTAGGGGCATGACATGGTTAGGCTTTAGGAAAATCACTTTAGTGGCAGATTGGACGGATCGGAGTGGGAAGAGACTTGGGGCAGGTAGACCACCCCCTTCCCCCCAGCAGCCATGGCAATAATCTAGGCGTCAGGTAATGAGGGTTTGCACCAGAGGGGTGTCAGAAGAGAGAAGGGGGCACATTTGAGGAGTTACAAAGGTCCACAAATTGTTGTGGACATGAATTTTGGATCAGTCTCAGACACCAAGCCAAAAAGATTAGACTTCATCTTTGTCTGCAGAATGACCCTGGCCTATATTGGCAGCTACTTGACTTGGGGAAGTGACCTATAGCCTGAGGCTATGCGTTAAAAGAGCTGTAGCTCTCCTTCTCTGAGAGAGGCTTCCTAGCCACTCCACCAGAGGAGATGGTAGTGGAGAGATCTGCAGCTGTTCCTTTGATGACTAGGTAGATGAAAAACTGCAGAATGAAATCAAGGCTGGGCAACAAATCTCTGCTGGGTACATTGTTTCTCCCAGGCCCTTCATCTCTGATCCTGGTAGGATAGCTCTGCTCCTCATTACATTGTTTCTTCTGGGGGACAACCTGCACTTGTCCCATAGTAGCAAACTTTTTTCTGCTAACATCTGCTGGGCTCAGGTATTGCCAACCTTCACTCATAGGTCAACACTGCATGTACACTTAACAGTTGCTCTCTCTCTCTCTCTCTCTCTCTCTCTCTCTCTCTCTCTCTCTCTCCTCCCCCCCAACTCTCTGGCAAAGACTGGCTTTAGAGGCAAATAATGGGAAGAAGAGGGCAGGAGCTCACCTGGAGAGTGGCTGAAGTGGAGAGAAAGTGGCCAGCCTCTGTTTCTCCAATGCTGAAGAAGTACAGGGCCTTTCAGAGTTCTATAAACTCTTCATCCCAGGAGAAGCCCCACCTACCCCACCCTCGTTATGGCTCTAGTAGAAACAGCTAAGTGAAAAGAACCTTCATAAGTAAAGGTGAGACCACTCACCTCTCATCCTCAGCTCTTGCCATTTTCAGAGTCTTTAGGGGCAGCAGAAGGAGGTGGGGTTAGGGTCTAAACCTAAGACCTGGTTTGCCACTTATTTGCGATGGAACTAAAACCACAAACTCTCAAAGACTAGATTTCCTCTTCTGGAAAATGGGGATAATAGAACTTGCATTGTTTAAACTTCAGAGTTGTTATGAGAAGCAGTGAGATAAAGAAAGCAGAGTGCTTGGCAAGCCCTACATTGCTAAACTGATGCCAGCCCTTGTTCAACAAATCCCTGCCTCTCTGAACTGTAAAGGAGCCTAGAGGCTCAGAGTCCAGTCTGTGCCTAAATAATTACTATTTGATGGAAACTGGTAGCCGATAGCTACAGCAGCTCATTGGAGGCTCAGACTCTGGGTTTGGCACTTCCCGATTTCACCCCATAGAGCAATATTACCAGGTCTTTCCTCCTGTCCCAGCTTAAGCAGGATATAGGTTTGGATGATGACACAAAAATCTGTGAGTTACTAAATCAATCCCCAGGAGACCCTTCCATAAGAACGTGCTTCTCTTGTTTGGAAAGTCCCAGCATGGCTCGTGAGGAGGGGGCTGAGAGGCTCCCCTCCTCCAATTCTAGGGCTCCTTATTGGCAGGTTCCTGGATGAGAGAGGCTTCTTCCTAGGACAAGAAGCTATCCTGAAGATAGTTTGGGCCTTTGCTCCTCTCATACTTGCTAGCGGTGTTCATTTTTCATCCCATTAGGAGAACCAAATAATAATAACGGAATATCTAGCATTTGTACAGATGTTTAAGATTTGCAAAGTGCTTTATATAACTCATTTGGTTCTCATAACAACCCTGTGAGGGGGGTGCTATTACTATTCTCATCTAATAGATGAGGAAACTGAGGCAGAGAGATGTCAAGTGATTGGCCCAGAGAAGTCTAGGGAATTTCTGAGACAGGATTAGAAGTCAGCTTTCCCTGATTCCAAGTCCAGCAGCCACACCAAAACGAGGTCAAGAGTGAGATGAGACTCCCCGAACCCTCTCCTCCTGGATGCTCATTCCTCTCTGGGTTTTGGGGGGACACTACTCTCTCCAGGTTTTCTTCCTGTCTCTGTGATCCCGCACTTTGACTGGGAAGAGAAAGGAAACAAATAAAAACCTCCCACTCAGGCACCCTGAGAGGATTGTTTACTGAGGGAAGGTGCTTGGCTCTAATTTCTCTTTGGTCTGCCCACAGATGGCGGTGGCTGGCCCAGTTTATCTGCTCCTGACATTTTATGAAGTGCTGCGTGGTGGAATGCATAGAGCACTTGACTTCAAGTCTGTGAGGTAGGCCTGGGTTTGAATCTTCTCTTATCAGCGGTGAGATCCTGGTAAGGCAGCTTAGCCTCTCTCTGTCTCAGTTTCCTCATTTGCAAAAGGAGGGTAGCAATAACACTCATTTCAAGGGGTTACTGTCAAGATCAAATGAGTTAATACACACACACACACACACACACACACACATATATATGAAGAAGAAACTTGGCCAACTTGAACCCACTCTACCAATGTTAGCTATTATTGGTGATCTTATCTTTCTGTGGAAGGCTGTACCCATGGGTTTGTATCCTAAGCTGCTGCTGTCCATAACTGCCAGCGTGGTCACCTTTCATGCAGACATCATCTCCTTTTTTCTTCATTCTTCCTTTTAGCTCAAAACATATCTAACTCCAGGGACAGAAAGCAGAAGGGCTTCTGGGACAGCCAGAGCCCCAGCTGAGGGCAAAAGGCCAAAGAAATGATGTCCCTGGGCTCGCTGCTGAAAGTTCAAGGGCAAGATGGCACAGCCTGAAGGGCCCTCTGATTAGTTAGAAAAGGAGGGAAATAGAGTTGGGGAAAGACACCTTTGTTGACATTTCAGGCTTCTCAAATTCTGGTTTCCCCTCTTGTCTAGGGGTCCTCCCATGGATGTCCTCCAAGGTCCTTCCTTGTGTGTGCAGGTGATCCCAGGTCTCCCTGGCTGGGCCAGCAGAGCACCAACTCCAGTCAGGCCTCCCAAGCTGGGTTGGCTTCAGATCTGGATCTCTACTACCCTGACAAGCTGCTAAGGACCAGCCCAGGTTAGGTCAGAGAACTAATCACCAGAGGGTTGGTCACCAGGAAATCGGTTGGGTTTTTTTTCAGCCTAAGCAACTTCTAGACTATTTACTAAGGCTTCAATGGGACTTGACCTGTATGGGGGCAGGGAGATAGGGTACAGCCATGCCAATGGAATCACAGCTTCCCTAAGTATTGAAATAGAGACCTTGGAAACAAAGACTTCCACTGGCTCACTGACTTTAGCCTGCTTCCAAAGGACAGCCCTTCTGTTGTTCTTGGAGAGCATTAACCATCTGGATATGGCTGAGGTGAAAACTCTTTTCAAAAGCACTGAAAGCCCTTCCAATGTACCGGTTAATAACTGGGTCAGAGTGAGTGAGCCCACTGAGCCTGAGGACAGCAAGATTCCTTCCCTGCTCTCTCTCTCTCTCTCTCTCTCTCTCTCTCTCTCTCTCTCTCTCTCTCTCTCTCTCTCTCTCTCTCCATCTATTTCCTCTCCTCTCTCCTCTTGAAGAGGTTTACCTACAATTCCCAGAAAAACCTTAAAACTTTTAGATTCCTTGTAGACTCACTTATTTCTCTTTGACAAAAAGAACCTGGCTTCAGTTTTGTTGACCGGTCCCAGGAAACCCTTAAAGTTTTAGAAACTGCCTTATTTCTCTTTAAAAGCCCTTTGAAAGCAAACTCTCCCTTCCAGCTCCCTTCAATATCTATTCTCATTCTCACCTGGACCCTTTTCCAAATGGCTCACCTCCCCTCTTCAACTGAGCTTTCCCATTGTTTCACCTTCCTGTGGCCTTTGACCATTTCTTACCCTTAATCCTAGCTAGGCACCACAAGGTCCGGGATCCAGGCATTCTGTTCACTCCAGCTTGCTGGCCACCCCCATCCAGATCTCCCTACACCCTGCCTACCCTCACCCCAAACTGCTTGGCCACTCCTTAGACCCCTCCTCCCCATCACTCCAAGCTGCTTGGCTACTCCTAGATCCCTCCCCAATCAGTCTGTACTTGAGACTCACCTTTCGCCCATTCTGATACTGAGCTGTTCTCATGCCTAGAAACTGAGACCCCTCATGCCCACCCGTCCTCAGGCTTCATGTGGCCTATCCATCCCAGCCCCCACTCAGATGCTGGGAATTTCTCATGCCCCTAGAGGATGAGGCCCCACACCCGCCCATAAGGGGTGTCACCTGGCCTGACCACCTTAGCCCCCAGGCCCCAGTGTCACCTGACCACCTTAACCCCTGTTTAGATCACTGATGTTTGAGTTCCTTTGGAATCTGGCCTATATGCTTGTCTTTAATAAACTTTTTCTCTGGCTAGAAGATCTGAGTTGAATTCATTCAGGCAGATCCGTGCCGTGATTTGGGCTTTCTCCCATGATCTTGGGGTGCCTCTGCGCATCTAGAAGCACCCCAAACCCTGCCCTCCACTCTCCCTCTCCTTTCCTCTCTGCAGGTTCCCAACCCAATTAGGTAATGGAAACAGCTACTTCAGCCCTACTGCTGGCACTAGGTCATCTGTAAGGAAAGGGAATCATGGCGGGGGGGGGGGGGGATAGTCCTGCCCTAGAGAACAAAGATGCTTGTCTTTTGGTAGCTGAGGATGGCAGGCAGGGCCACATTCATGGCCCAGGTCATCCAGGACCATTTGCTGCTTGGTACTGTCTGGGAAGCCAGTAGGGAGCACCCTTTGGTGGGGGGCAGGGAGGGGGTGCTTCTCTGTGCTGTCTCTGGCTTCAGCCTTCAGCCTTTCACTGTCATGGTCACCCTTGGGCTCACCTCAAGTGAATTCCAGGACATGACTCACTTGGTCCAAGACTGCAGAACAGTGAGCTCACAGGTAGGGGGTAGAGCAGGACCTAGCTGGCAGGGGAAGGAGCCCCTGATGTGGCCATAGTTGGGGGCAGTGGGTGGTAGGAGGCAGACGCCCATCCTTTCCACCACACTATATGCCCCTTGTCAAAAACAGGCTCTCTTTCTGGACTTTTTCTGAACTAACTCCCACATTTATTTGAGGGGGAGTTAAAATTTTATGATGAAAGTCAACTCCTGAACTTATCTTTAAATGTTCCTATCTTTTTTTTAATGTAGGAATGAATAAGAGATGCCAAATGTGAGCTGACCAGTGTCAGTCAAGTATCATCTCTCCCCCTCCCCTCAGCACAGAACCCCACCCCACCCCACTGAACCCCAGAGCCTACAGCTGGTATAAGAGCAAGACCTCTAAGGTGAAAGTGAATGTGTGTGAAATTGTGGCCATCTCAAAGCCCCAGATAAATGCTGGCCATTGTTATGATAATGATTTTTTTTTCACTTCCACCACTTCATATATTTATTTTGCACTTAATAGTATTTTTTCCAATTACATGTAAAGATAGTTTTCAACATTCACTTTTATAAGATTCTGAGTTCCAAATTTTTCTCCCTCCCTCCCTTCCCTCCCCCCTTCCCAAGACAGCAAGTAATCTGATACAGACTATACATGTACAATCACGTTAAACATATTTCCACATTAGTCATGTTGTGAAAGAAGAATCAGAACAAAAGGGAAAAACCAAGAGAAAGAAAAAAGCAAAAAAATGAATATAGTCTGCTTCCATCTGCATTCAGATCTCTGTTCTTTCTGTGGAAGTCAGTCATCGCACAACGTGGCTCTTACTGTATACATTGTTCTCTTGGTTCTGCTTGCTTCACTCTGCATCAGTCCATACAAGTCTTTCCAGGTCTTTCTGAAGTCTGCCTGCTCATCATTTCTTATAGCACCATAGTATTCCATTACATTCATATAGCACAACTTGTTCAGCCATTCCCCAATTGATGGGCTTCCCCTCAATTTCCAATTCTTGGCCACCACAAAAAAGAACTGCTATAAGTATTTTTGTATGTCTGGGTCCTTTTCCCTTTTTTATGATCTCTTTGGAATACAGACCTAGTAGAGGTATTGCTGGGTCAAAGCGTATGCACAGCTTTATAGCCCTTTGGGCATAGTTTCAAATTGTTCTCCAGAATGGTTGGATCAGTTCACAATTCCACCAACAATACATTAGTGTTCCAATTTTCCCACATCTCCAGCATTTATCATTTTCCTTTTCTGTCATATTATCCACTGTGATAGGTGAGAGGTAGTACCTCAGAGTTGTTTTAAATTGCATTTCTCTAATCAATAGTGATTTAGAGCATTTTTTCATGTGACTATAGATAGCTTTGATTTCTTCTTCTGAAAACTGCCTGTTCATATCCTTTGACCATTTATCAATTGGGGAAGATAAAGATGATTCTTATTGTGATTGACGGCAAAGTCTGGTTGTGATGACCCTGGTGAGCTGTGTGCCTTTAGGTGAGTGCTATAGAGAAGTCTGATAGATAACACGAGAGTGACACAGTGATGAAAGAGTAAAAAGAGAGGACAAGCCCCCTCCCCTTCTAGGCAGAACCTTGGGAAAGAAGGAGCAGGGCACCTTGCGAATGAAGGGACCCTGGAAGAGGGGCTGTGGCCCTCCCCGACCCCTGGCTGCCCAGGAATCTGACATTTTTGCTGTCTGAGAGAGGGCTCCCCCACCCCACCCCGCTTGCACATGCTTGAGCTCACACACGCACACACATGCGCACACACACACACACACACACACACACACACACACATACTCTGCCGCAGTCACACTTGAAGCACAGGACTTGGGGGAGGAATCAGGTCTCCAGGATTCCCAGATGCTTCCCAGAGTTCAAACATGTACTTAATGAGGGATGTCCGGGCAATTTAAAGCACTTGACCTTTTATGCTCTCCCCACCATCAACAGGCTTGCTTTCCAGCTCTCAGATAGCTAAGAGGGGCAAGGGCTGCATGTACAGACTGTCTGTCCACCAACCTTCCTGCTCGCAAGCTCTCTGACACAGCCCTCCCTTCATTCACATGGCCATGAGGACCAGAGTTCCCCTTTCTGGGCCTGGACACCAAGGACAGCCCAGGTGCTCAAGTCTTGCTTTTCCACCCCAGGGACCTTGGCCGCTGTGATTCTGCCTAGGCCCTTTTTTTAACGACATCACCTCAGGCCTTTGGCCCTTTCCATGCCAATAGGCCCTGGCCTGAGCAGCTGTAGAATTGTTTGGCGGCCCCTACTGTGCCCTGGCTCTGAGCAAGCTTGGAGCGCTTAGCTCCAGGGTCTACCTCAATGACTCTCAAAATGTCTTCTCCCCCCACCATCACCTCCCCCATCCCCCACTTCCTGACATTCCCTATGGTGCAACAGCTGGCTAGGTGTTGTGGGACCCCCATGCCTTCCCAGAGTCATCACAGAAATCATGCTAGTCTGTTCACTCTTGGGTTCTGGGAAAGATTGGAGTCCCAGGATGGCTTCTCTGGATGCCACATGGAGCTTGGAGCTGCCTGAAAAGTCTGGCCTGACGGTCCTGTGGAGTCCAGGGTTCACGGCCACAAAGGACTGGAAAAGTCAAGCCTGGAGACTTTTGTGAGCTGGGAAATCCTTGGGATTTGATACATTTTGGCTTTGCCAGCCTGCGCCTCTTTGACACCGCTCTCTGCCAGCTTTGGGAGGGCAGATGGCCTGTCTTAAACATCCATCAGGTCACTGCCTATTGGGGTGCCATGGGGGGCCACACAGTGGAGGGGGGCAGGCCCATCAGGCCCGAGCAGAACCTCCTACTTCAGCCATACACAGACAAAGAGAATAGAGGCTGCGATTCTCAGGCTCTATGCTGGACATTCCCCCCAGGGGGTTCTGGAGGGACTGTGGGTGCATCCTGGGGCGGGGGTCCCTGTCACTCACAAAGCTGAGCAATGTGTGAGCAGGGCCTCCTGGCCCCAGAAGCCAAGGCAGCTGAGTTGAAAATGCTCTCCAGATGTCTGGAAATGGTTTTGCCACCCCCTTGTAGGTCCCCAGCTGAAAGCCACGACCAGTGAGAAGGCTCAGTGAGGCTGTACCATCAGAGGGCCCTGCCTTCAGGTCCAATCTGGAATCAGACTGGAAAGGGGAGCTCAGGAGTCAGCTTGTGGCCAGCTCTAGGCTGCCTCTTGCATATACTG